TTTTTTTTTTTTTTTTTTTTTTTTTTTTTTTTTTTTTTTTTTTGAGACAGAATTTCGCTCTTGTTGCCAGGGCTGGAATGCAATGATGTGATCTCAGTTCAATGCAACTTCCACCTCCCGGGTTCAAGCAATTCTCCTGCCTCAGCCTCCTGAGTATCTTGGATTACAGGCATGTGTCATCACGCCTGGCTAATTTCTGTATATTTTTAGTAGAGACGGGGCTTCACCACGTTGCTCAGGCTGGTGTCAAACTCCTGACCTCGTGATCCGCCCGCCTTGGCCTCCCAAAGTGCTGGAATTACAGGCGTGAGCCACCGCACCCAGTGGCCTTTAATTTTAATAGTAATAAAAAGAAAAAAACAAGCATTGATTCTGCCTTCCTATACAAATCATATCACTGAAAAACCAAATCATAAGCAATCGAATGTTCTTCTGCATAAAAGTATTACAACCAAAGAACAGTCATCATTTTGCAATCCCTGACGAATTAAGAATCTAGTAGCAGTGGTGGCTGTTACCATCAGAAAAACAAAAACATACACTACCTGCCTCATTAATGAAGAACTCAATACCATCTATCTGGGAGGCTCCCCTATTAGAAAAAACAAAAACACTTAATCTAATTAAGCTTCTAGAATCCTAACATTTCCTAAGTTATAGGAAATACAGAGGGCAGAAGAACATGCTAAACTACACCATAGAAATGCAAACAGCAAAATTAAAATCAAGACTAGGAAACTCAGCCGGGCATGGTGGCTCACATTTGTAATCCCAGCACTTTGGGAGGGCGAGGTGGGTGGATTCCCTGAGGTCAATCACCAGAGGTCAGGAGTTTGAGACCAGCCTGCCCAACATGGTAAAACCCTGTCTACTAAAAATACAAAAATTAGCCAGGTATGTGGCACACACCTGAAATCCTAGCTACTAGAGAGGCTGAGAGAGGAGAATCGCTTGAACCCGAGAGGTGGAGGTTGCAGTGAGCAGAGATCGCACTGCTGCACTCCAGCCTGGGTGACAGAGCGATACTAAGTCTCAAAAAGAAAAAAGACTATGAAACTTTACAAATGATTCATTCATTCAATCAATCAATCAATCAATCGATCGTATGGAGATGGACGAGACCACTGGGGAACGCATAACTAAAGGAAATTTTAAAACAGTAACAAAAAAAACAGGCAAAACTCAACCACAGTGTCAAGGAAGACACGTTTGGGTAGTAAAACCCTAACAGGTGAGTGATTTATCCTAGAAGTGAGGATAACAGCTGGAGCTAAGGGGCACAGGGACCATGCTGCTGGGAGGCGTATCAGGCCAGGGGGGCTGGCAGGCGGCGGCCTCCTGCTTGGGGGTTGTTAAAACGGCGTCCACTGCATAAGTAATTAAGGTCTAGTTTATTTTATGGGATTTTCTATGTTAGTTTTATATTTAATTAAAAGGGTCTTTTAAGGCAAAATTCAAACAAATTGGGAAAAAGATACTTGCCATACATAAGCCAAAAAGCTAAATTATTTATTTCACAGCAATAGAAGACCAATCAACCTAATAAAAAATGAGCAGAAAAAAATGAAAATGAATTCACAGAAAAAGAAATTATGAAGAGATATTCAGTCTCTTATTTATCTATTTTATTTTTTTGAGATGGAATCTCACTCTGTCGCCCAGGCTGGATAGAGTGCAGTGGTGCAATCTCGTCTCACTGCAACCTCCACCTCCCGAGTTCAGGCGATTCTCCCGCCTCAGCCCCGAGTAGCTGGGATTACAGGCATGCAGCACCACAGCCAGCTAATTTTTGTATTTTTAGTAGAGACAAGGTTTCGCCGTGTCAGCCAGGCTGGTCTCAAACTCCTGACCTCATGATCCACCTGCCTCGGCCTCCCAAAGTGCTGAGATTACAGGCATGAGCCACCTCACCTGGCCGTCTTGTGTAATTTTTAAAACAAATTTAAACAAGACACTATTTTTCACCAATCAGATTGCCAAAATCACAAAGTATGATACACTCAGTCAGAATATATCAGAAAACGTGGTTGCTGCACTTTTAGTAGGGGTGTAAATGGGAACAACCTCTCAGAAGAGCAACAGCATTCAAAATGCTAAAGGGTCAGAGCCCCTAAGCTGGCCATGCACCTCACAAGCATTCAGCCAGGACATTCACATAACACACACAAAACCCATCACAAAACGACTTAAAGCATTGTTTTTAGCAGCAAAAGAACGGATGTCGGCATTGCGCAGCTACGGATGGAATAACATGCGGCTTCAGGAGCCAGCCAGAACCCCTGAGAAGCAGTTCCCAAACTGCAGAATCCCGTGCCTATCAACGGGCAGGGCGGTGCGGATGACACG